CCTGATACAGTTTACAGCAGATTAATATTCTTCAGATGAGATTATATATTTTATAAAGCTGAGAAAGATGCCAAAGGAACATGTGTCTGAACTTCAAGAGGAGGCCACAAATCAAATACAATGGAAGATTTATTAGATATAATGGTAAATCAAAACTACATATTTTTACATGCAGAATCAGGTTGTTTCCTTATTAGAGGAGTGTGAAAAAAACATGTAGTAATTCTTTCAACAGTTCCAGAAGATTTTACCACATAATGGCAGCGCAGCTGTAGGAACAAGTTTTCATTAGACAGAGGTAATATATCCTTTAAAGAAATTCAGGACAAGTAGAAAAAGGAAAATCTGCCAGGATTTGCTTCAGCTTATGCTTGGGTCATCAGTGGTAGTTGCTGCCTTCTGTTGGCCTCTTTTTCAATTGCCTCCAATAGGCCTGGCTTTCATATTACTGTATATATCCAAAATATCTAAGCTTTAGCTTCCTTATTAGTGCTTGCAGTGAGCTGTCTAGTTTTACTTCATCTAGTATTAAATAGTTTGTTCTTCTTGTGGTCCATGGTATTCTCAAACAATTTCTCTAGCACCCTGGTTCAAAAACATCAATTTTTCTTTGTTCAGACTTTCTGATATGTTCAGTTGTCTCACCCATGTTACCACTGGGAAAACCATGGCTTAACAATGTATACCTTTGTTGTTTGCGATGCCTTTCCATCACATCTATTTTGTCTAGATCGTAGTCTTTCTCCTAAGTAGCATCTGTCTCTTTATTTCATGGTATAGTCACCTTCCCTGTGACTTTTTCAATCTGGGAAAATAGTCTTTCTCACTTCTAGCTGTCAAAGTGGTATCATCAGCGTTTCTGATGTTCTTGATTTTTTTCCAGGAATTCCAATTCCATCTTCTATTTCTTTTAGCCCAGCCTTTCTCATATTATGCACATGCGCTAAATAAATAAGAGGACAGTATATAACCTTGCCACACTACTTTCTCAATTTTGAACCTTTTAGTTGCTCCACATTCTATTCTTACTGTTGCTTCTGGTCATCATATACATTTTTCAATAGGCAGATAAGGTGGCCCAGCACACCTAGGCATAAATTTATCTTTTCCAGTCCCTTGGGCACTCCTATGTTTTCCATACATACTGCATGTGGGACATTAACTACATCATCTTACAAGATTTTAAATAGTTCTGTTGGCATTTCATCAGCTTCTTCAGTTTTATAGTTTTGTTTTTGATTTGTGAACCACGCAAAGTCACTGTTGAGTTGAATGAACTTAGAAATCTAAATTTTAAAAAATAAAATAAAAATAAAGTAAAATATACCCTATTCTTCTTTCTCCATCTCCTCCTCCTCAGTCTTCTTCCAGACAGGAAGAAGAGTTCAAACGGTGACTATTTTAGGCTGGAATCTCCAATACCAGTTAGGTCATCAGTCCTCTGCTAATCACCAGATGATGATAGCTGGGATTCATCTGATGGTGTCTGCAGATTCACCCATCATCAGGCACACCAGCTACTGTTGCTCCACACAAAGCAGATCTTCGGCTATTCAGTTGCTACCAGACTGTCAACAACCTCCCAACCCAGCATGCTAAATTTGTATGCTAAAAACAGTTGCATATTGAAATTTAGTGTCCTGTACTGGGGGTTGGAATACCATTTTTCCCCAGAATGGATAGTGTATGTGGCTACCAAAGGAATATTAGTGTGTCATTGTATTCATATCCCATGTTATATGAAAGTGACAAACTTGGCTGCTTTGTCTGGCCAAGAAATTGATGTTGTGGGTCATTTCCAAAATAGGAACATTTGCCTGGATTGATAGAGGAACGTGGTTTGGGACATTTTGGTTCTTTTCTCTCAAGGACTAATAGTCTTATGCCAGTGGTGAGTTGTCAGTTTTCTTGGCTGGAATGTGGACATTTCTAAGTCATTTTCCAAAATACAGACTTTTATGCAGAATAAGTTGCAATACGTGACTAAGTTCAGTTGTCCTCCTTGGCCAGCTGCAATTGCTGTTCCAGTGTTCTAGTCTCTTTTCAGATTATATGGACCTTTGGTCAGAATAGGTAGTGGAATATGGTTCTTGGGACTGTTTCAGCTGTTTACACATTGAAAACTTATGAGTCCAATGTGATTGATGAGTCTGATCAATTTAAATGGCTCAGATGTGGGTATTCAATGTCATTTTCAACTTCTATGGATCTTTGGCTGGAATAGTAGCAGAATGTGGTTCTCATGGATGTTTTGCCATTTTTGCATAAGACAAATCACAGTGAGTTTTTTCTTTGAATGGGTAGCATCTACAATGTGGTTCCCTTGGAAGTTTTGGCTGTTTTTGTATCAAGCCCTTGTAGTCATACATATTTGGTAAATGTGGATAGCTGATGGGAAAATGGGCATTCCAAGTAGTTTTGCTTTATTCTGCATGGTTTTAGGATGTTAAGGAGTTACTAAAAGAATAATATTGAAAGGATTGTGTTAAAGATAAATGAGAACCAAGTTAAAGAACTGTATCACACTTTGAAAAATGTGACCTGAGCCTTCTAAATGCAGTTGTTCATTTAAGCATCAGGAACAACACTGTCAAGGCAAAAGAGACTTTGAAATAAAGAAATACAAATGGGAAGCACTTAGGAAACTGATAAATAACCATACATAGGAGATCATTTAGTGATACTTGAGATATCTTTGGGACTTCTATTATACAACTTAGATATGAGATATAGACCTTTAAATGTCTACTTGAAATAAGATACCAGTCAGCTTTTTAGACCAGAATATCATCAGATACTTAGAAAAAGGGCGCAGCTTGAGAAATATATAGGGAAAAGATTTGGCCTATTTCCTTATTTCACAAGATGCTAGATAGGCCTCTGGAAAGGTTACATCTTTCTGTTTGCTTTGTTTGGTAACTGCTTGTTTTTAAAATAATTATAATAACAATAAACCTTCTGTTTAATAAACTAATTGGGGGAAGAGGTGTCTGTTAGAACCCCATGTCTACTAATTAGTGAATGGAATTTTATGCATACATAATACAGAACAAATTTTGTCTGTTATATCGAAAGTTCGCTAAACTGAGGTTTGTTCTATCAAGAGTTTATTGTATTTTAATTAAAACAATTAAATTAAATTCTACCCAGTTTATTCAAGGATTGTATGTTTCATTGAGAGGGATCCTTTAATTGGTGATGTGGCTTGCAATACCCATAAAACTCCTATTGTGGAGACCATGCTGGTTGGTTATCCTTCTTGAACTGCCACCTCACCCTTACTAGGAGCAGCTTCAGTTACTCCTGTCCTTTCAGCATCCTGGCTTGAAAATTACTGTCTTCTATTGCTGCTTTCCGCTCATCATATGTTGTGAAATCCAGGATGTTGTATTGTAGCCATGATGGCGAGCCTACATTCCCTAGCAGGCTAGGCATATTGTGTTAGTAGAATTAGAGTAGCCTTTGTAATGTGTGATTTTCCTTCCCTTTTAAGAACATAATAGTATGCTTAGGCAGTGCTATAGTTGAGCTAGTAGAAAAGTCAGTGCAAGATGGTCACAGCATGATATTGCCAGCTGTAGCAATTCTACTGAACAAGAGGTCATTCAGTCACCATTTAATTTATGCCTAATACACATTTAAAGGGTTATCCCTGTTGAAAGAAATACTGTCATAGCAGACCCTGGAGTCTTTTGCACTGGGCAGTTATGCATAGGCGAATGGCACCCTGGCAGGAAGAAGAAATGGAGGGGAGAACCTGCCGTGTTTTCTTTGCTGAGAAGCCAGAACTAGGTGGCCTCTCCCTTCCTCAGCTGTTTTATCAGATTGCAATGGCAGGAGAGATGGGAAGCAGGGCTGCTCTACTAGCTCAATTAGAAGAACTGATTTCCATTCCAGCTCTCACTCTAAGCATGAATACATAACCTCAAGAAGTGATTCCCAAGTTTGCTTTCTTCTTCTTCTTCCATGTCCAACATAGCATAGGTTCTCCATGAGTCTGTATTAAGGCTGTTGCATTTTCAGCTATTTATCATCTGGAATTAGGGTCAGAGGCCATATATGTGGATGACATCAAATTATTCATGGGATTTAAAAAAATTAAAAAGAAAGAAACTTGAGCTAAACTGAGGGAATGATAATAAAAATGGCAAAGGTGGTTCAGTGGGATACATGCTGGGGCACAAAATCTTCACCTTCACATATATAATGATCAGGTCTTTTTGGCACTAAGTAAAGTATTTTGATTAAACATTATGGATTAACAATAAAATTGCTACTATCATAATGTATTCATACAAATCTTGGAATATACACTTTGAATGATATACAGAATTTGGGGCATTCTACCTCAAAAAAAGATAGTAAAGAAATAGGGATGGGGTGCGTAAAGTCCACATGTAGTCTGGGCTTCATTCTAAAAAATGGGTGGTACTAGACAAGTAAGCCTGTTGGAACACACAAAACAAATTTAATTCAATTCAATTTACATTTAAATTTTATGACAGTGAAAATGTAACAAAATGCAATTACTGATTGTTTTCCATTTATTTAATAATTTCTCCATCTATTACCATAAATATTGCAATTTGGCAACAACCTTTGGAGAGGCTGTCAGGTTTGTACCCAAGGCTTTAAAGCTCCTTATATTGTGCCCCAAATATAGACTTTCAGAGGAAAGAAGTGCCATTTAACTAAATTATCATAGTTGTATTCTAAGCAATGTACTGTAGATGCTCTACGCTGAGGAAGGCTGTTAATAACCGATAGCTTGAATTGTTACAATAGAGGGTCTAAATAAGTGGTCCATCATCCAAATGAGTCTGTAAATTTCTATGCATATCGGGGTTAATGGCTCTACTATGGTAACTGAGAGCCATTTTGAAAAGGCTGTCAGTCCTGAACAGCAACATATTTCTACTTGTTTTGCTGGCTTTTTCATCTCTGATCAGAGCTGAAATATTAATTTGTGCCCCTCTTCCTTCCTGTCTCTCTTCGATTAGAAAGAGCCCGAGATTATCTACACAAGACAGGAAGGTTCATTGTCATTGGCGGAATAGTCTCACCGGTACATGACTCATATGGAAAACAGGTAGGTATATGTATTTTTTTCTTCCTTGTTCATAAGGATAATCAAAACTGTGGGGAATGAATGCTGGACACCTAAGATGAATAAGTGTGACATCTGTTGCTGAGACTCTTAATTAAAATGTTCACCTTCTTTCTGGTGGAACAGGCAGAACTTCCACAATGATAACCTTCACAGCAGTTGGAGAAGGCTTATTGCAACTGATATAAGCAATTATAGCATGGAAGTGGCAGGCTTTGTGGTTAGATACTTTTCTGTTAATTGCTTTGTCATGATACATTTCTTCTGATTTTTAAATCATCATCTGAAACACAATGCTGGATTCCAATGTCATCATTGGATAGTTCATTTTCTAAAATTATCTCTTGGTTCCAACAGGATCCCTATCAACCACATGTAGTGGCCCTTGGAGAAAGGAAGAAGAGAGCATACCTTAGCATTTTCATTAAACATGGCCATAGCACATAATACAACAGAGTGGAGTAATTCTTCATAGGCATGAGATTTATTACTGCCATCTACATTTTAAAAAATCTCAGATAGCTGGGCAAGAAGAACATTCTCTGGAGTCTTTGGGATCAGCACCAGACACAATAGAGTTCCAGACCAATTGCCTGACTTAAATTTTTGTTTTGTAATTCTGTACTGTTACAATTCACTAGAATAGTCAGACAGTGATGTCTTTTCTTCTTTTGTGCCTTAAAAGACAAGCTTCACCACCTGAAACTCCCTTTCTACACATCTATTAAAAGTGCAGGTACCCATCTTTTTCTCTGACATTTGACCACCCTATAGTTAGTTAAATTTAGATTAGGTAGCAGATAGGTGACACTGGTGATCCAGAAAGAGATAGGAAGGAACAAATACAAGTATGTAAGGTTAGAGTAGGAATGGACAGCCTTTCAATATCCAGGGTCTGTTCTTCAAACATGATTTGGAGCAGCCAATTCCACAGTGGCTAAGATGGTGACATGGCAAGACTAGGACTTTTGGGAATTCATTTGAAGAGTTGGTAGATTTTTACGCTGCACTAAGCCTGATTTTTTTCTGTTTTTTCCTGCCAAAAATGGGCAAAAATTGTGCTTCCTTTCTTGGTGGCTTGATGCTGAAATTTAGCAACGTGATTTGTGAATACTCCAGTCTGAAGGCCATCCAACAGTGTTTGAGGATTGCTGTGGGTTGCCCATCTCTGGATCAGAGAACTGGGAAGCATTTTAAGATTATCCAGCAAATATCACAATAAATGAGCTTGAATCTGGACTCTATAGCCTAAGACTAATAAAGCAGTTAAACCAAGGGACAATTTAACCTTAAGAAAGTCCAGTAACACAGAATCTCCATTAATTCTGACAATCTACTTCTTTACAGGGTTTGGTTTCCAGCCGACATCGCCTGGCAATGTGTCAGTTGGCCGTTCAGTCTTCTGACTGGATAAGGTATAATAACATATCTCATCACTCATGTTCTCTACTTCATGGCAGGGACATCTGCAGTGGGGTAAAAAAAAAGTCACAGTGATGGCTACAACTGCACAGTCAAAGCCCACCCCTCTTTTTACATGTGTTGCATACATCACACATATAAAAAAGAGGCACCACTTTGATTGTGCAGCTGTCTTGACCTTCTGACCCTCCAGCAGGTGCCCTTGCTTCATGGTCTGGGTTCCAGGGTTTTCTGATTCAGAACATAATTCTAGCTTACAGAATAGCAAACATGCAACAGGTGTACAAACTAAAATGCCAGATGTAACAAGAAGAGAGGTTTCTTCAGTCTTTAAAGCTGATGGAGCTGTGGAAGCTTCCTTTTCTTTATAACCTTTTTTTTTAAAAAAAAGAATGGATACATACATTTGAAATGAAATGAAATAAAGTAACCTTCAGCAACTTTCAGCAACCTCCAGCTGTATGGTCTTCAACATTAAGAATGTTTACCTATGGCCATGCAAATTCTGGGGGTTGAAGTCCACACATCTGAAGGTTTCCTGAGCTGGGATATGTTTGCACCAACCACTCTTGCAAGAACCGTTTATTTCAAGTGAATATTGATTTAATTGGGAATAGCCCTTTACAAAAACTTCCCAATTCAGTCTTCTGTAAGCAGTTTCTGACAGGCTCAGAAACTTCTTGCTTCGGCTCAGATTTCAGACAGCGAGACCAGAACGTACATGAAAGTAATCATTCAGATCCATATTAGGATCTGTGGTTTGTTAGCCACAAGTATGATCATATGGTATGAACTAATGTAATGTACTGCTTGTTCATCAGAAATTTATTTTGCATATGAGATTCTGCACTCTGGGTCAAGAAAGTGGGAAGATCAGTTTAAAGCAGGAAGGTGATGGTTGAGTATGAGAGAAGTATGTTTGCTGAAGCATTATGCTCAGAAGCTATTTGCTCCACCTATATATTTATAAATAAATATTAGAACATGTGAGTAAATCTTTACCAACCTTGTGTTAGCATGGAAAGTGAATCTGAAAATTCTTGTCACTTACAGAATTGGGATAAGCTTACTACTTTCCTATTTTAAAATTGGAAATAATTAAAGAGGTTCTGTTCTTAGTTGTCAAACACGTGCTTCATCAAATATTGTTGAGCCACCCAGAGTTATGCTGCATAAGATAGGCAGCTATACAAATCTTCTAATAAACAAACAAACAAAGTCCATTAGCTATGTAAAATTGCTTAATTCAGGAGTGGACCTCCTTTTTTTTTTTTTACAGGGGATGACTCATACTTCAGCCTCCTGACCAGCTGATAGATGAGGGCTTTTGGTGATGCTACTGGAAGGAGTAGGAGATGAAAATGTTCTGCCCTTCCATGATTTGGGAACTTTGGGTTAAGGGTAGGAATAGAACTGATTCACTTCCAAGAGGCCTCTAACTCCCATTCTTAACCTTATTTCTATGATTTCACCTGATAATCGTGCTGCCAAATTTGGTCCATTTCCAGAGGTTTTGGAGCTGCATGAAGTCTGTAGGCCACAGCTTGCCTACTCTGATTAGATCCATGATCACATTTTTGAAAACGTTTTGTAGTTGCCAGCAAAACAGGCATCTGAAAACAGTCCCCTGGGGACTTGGCATATTTCAATAGCAGGATTTGCAGGTATTTCAGACCTGGTCTAATTGGGCTAATAAGACTGACATCTTATTATTTTAAGTGAGTCAACCTTAGATTAACTTGTTAACCCCCTCCCCACTATGGTTATCTTGAATAGCCTGTTTTGCATGAATGAGCAGTTAGCAACATTGTTAGTGAAAGTGTTTTAATTAGCAAGTTCACGTCTCTGACAACCTCAGGTGGAGAATATAAGAAGGAACTTGGCCACAAAGAACATGTTTGAGAAACAGCCCAATTTAGCAGTTCATTAAGTTTTCAATTAAGAACTTGTGCTGCTAGCTCAGATTTTGATGCTTTTTTAAAGAAAAAAAAAACAGGCTGATGTTGGGGAACGTGGGAATTTTGGCACACTTTTACAGTACACTTACTGACTTGTCCAAATGTGAGAAATTGGCATAACTGCTGTGTGCTGCTGTAGTTTCTGCATATGGCCACAGTAGGACTGGTGAATGAGGAGGTATCCTGGATTTCAAAAACTGTATAGTGTAGAGATGGATAGGAACCCAAGACTACCTGCCTAACAGACTTGATTAGATAGGATCCTGATGAGAGTTTGTTTTCCTCTATAGGATGTAGAGCTGAATTGGGATCAGGTTTTAATTAATAATGCAGGATTGTTCCCTCTCCCAATTCCAGTTCCTTTAAGGTAAGAAATACTGTAAAACAAACAAATACAGAACACCCAGATAGGCAATTTCCAGCATAACTGTTTGCTCCTTATTTGGTCAAACTTTTGTATAAAACAGTCAAATTCCACCCATAATACTCTTTATCACCTTTGAGGTCTTCTCATGGCCTTTTAAATATGTATTTGCTAGGAGTATTATTTCTCTGGAAACATACTGGTATCTAACATCAAGAGCCCATCCCATCATGTCAGCTATATAGTTTGTCAGTATCCAGATCTGTCTGTCTGTCTCCCTATCCTTAAAATGGAAATGTGCAACTTATAAGTGCATGAGTCAAAAATTCTTGTGAAGGGAGGGTTTCAAGATAATTCATGCATGCATTTGTATCACTTGATTACTACAGCTTTTAACACTACAGAAATAATTTCATATGGCTTCAAGGACAATATTGAGTAGAGTTAATTCACAAAGTGATGGGCATCAAAAGTGCAGAGAAATCTATAACCCTGGGTGAATTAGCCCATTCTTACTAGAGTTGTCTCTCATGGTGAGATAATATACAGTTAGTCCTCAACTTACAACCACAATTGGGACCAGAACTTCTGTCACTAAATGATGCGGACATTAAGTGAGTTGTGCCTGGTTTTACAACCTTTATTGCTGCAGTCATTAAGTGAATCACCGTAGTTGTTAAGCAAATCATGCAGTTGTTAAGCAAATCCAGTTTCCCCCATTGACTTTGCTTGTTAGAAGCCCGCTGGGAAGGTCGCAAATGGCAATCACATGACCCCAGAATGCTGCAACTGTCATAAATAGATGCCGGTTGCCAAGTGCCCAAATTTGATCACGTGACCGCAGGGATGCTGCAACAGTTGTAAGTGCGAGAACTGGTCGTAAGTCACTTTTTTCAGTGCTGTCGTAACTTCAAACGGTCATTAAATGAATGGTCGTAAGTCAAGAACTACATGTACCAATATGGTAGTAACTTAGCACATTCACACAGTATGATGTATGAGGTTGCCTTTCTCACGCCACATTTCAGTCTCTCATAAATCTAATCATATGGGTCCACCCTCAGCCACCGAAGCTCACTGGATGACTTTGGGTCAGTCACTCCCTTTCAGCCCAACATACCTCACTGTTGTTATGGGGAAAATAATGCTCTCTCCTCCTATGTACACCACCTTGAGCTCCTGAAAGAAAGGTGGGATATAAATCTAACAAATGAATAAATAAGGGAGATATTAACATGTATATTGTGGAGCCATACTCTTTTCCTTACCACCAAGTCCCACACACATTTCAGGGCAAGGATTCCTGTGCTGGACCTTTCCTTGTTTTTGCTTGCGTTAATGACACACATCTGTTCTCCACTTTAGCTTCACAAATGCCTCCCTCATCTCACCCCAAATTTTGATATGAGGTCAGAAACTAGATTTGTTCAAGATGAAGTAGATCCCAACATAAATTTGCTGTTAGGGATAAGAATCCAAATGCCCAGGAGAAAAGGCAACCCAGTTTTATTTGATAGCGTTGCATCGCCATAAATATATTGCAGAGAAACTCTGGTACATTTTAAGTTTGCCCAGAAGGCTACAACCACAACTGGATCATTGCCGAACAACAGCTTATTACTACATATTCTGTCATGTTTGGTAAGGAAGAAGTGACAGTCTTTTCTAATTGATCTGGGCAAGGCTTTGCCAAGGGAACAAGTAGACTGTCCTGCAATCAGCTGACAGGTCCATTATGAAGTCTACTCATCATCTTACTTGAAATTGGCAGGACTGATGCAAATTCTGTTACATAATTCTCAGAGGTGCTCCTACCCCCCGTAGCTCTTCCTTTTACATTATTTTTGAAAAGCCAACTTATGGAGAGGCAAACTATTCCCTATCCCCTAATAGATGAAACGTTTTTAATGAACTGCTTGAAAATTTATTAAACTTTTATTAACCCTATAAATCAAAGGAAATGCATAAGAGATTGATTGATTGATTCAATTTATATGCTGCCCATCTAGTATTGTGCCTTTCTAATGTGCTTGCTTTTGTGATATGAAACTTCAGATTCCTACCATGAGTCCCAGAAATATCAGAAAGAAAAACAAGATAGGGAAAGCATGTAGAACATGGTTCTGTTGTTCTTTCCAACCCCTTTACCTGTGGCCACATGTATATATGCATGCACTGGGAAGCATGGAGTGGGCTGCATTCATTACACCTAGGAGCAGGGAGAGAAGAAGGCTTACAGTGGGGCACTTGGCAATATTGGCCAATGCTCAACTGCCTCTCCCATTGGAGGAACTTTGAGCCTTTTTTTTCTTCTCTGCAACCCCCAGCCTGTTCCAGCCCATTTTTGAATTCAGTCTTTCTTTTGTCAGCTTTTCCCTTCACACCAAATTTGGTCCTGTTCAATTGCATTTTTGAAGAGTTCTCCTGCTAATGGACAGATAAAGTCCTTACTTGCTTTGTTAGAAGCCTCCTCTGTCCATGAACTCAGGAAAATCAAGATATCAGTTGACAAAGAGTCTCCATAAATTTATTTTGCTAAATGAATGAACAAAAGGAAAATACCTCTATTGCTGAAAATAATAATAATGATAACAATAATAATAATAGTAATAGTAATAAGGAAAAAGGACCTAGAAAATTATGTTGTAAGCAGAACAAATCCAAACACTTTTGATTCAAACATTTTTTTTCTTGCTCTTTTGCTGAAAAAAGGAAAACCTAATTCTGATGTGAACAAATGATCTATCAGCAAACCATTCCTGCAAAAGCACATATAAATTCCTCCTTCCAGAATTGTTCATATATTATTCCTGGAGGCTGGAGCTAAATTCCCTTTAATTATAAACCACTCAACTTGACCCAACAACCATGTATTTCTTATTAAATGTTCAGTAGGAAAAGTGATTCAGAAAAATGATTAAATTCCATGCAGTAGCAGTTGCTGTTAGAAGTAGCTGGAACTGAAGAAAATCCAGTTATGAATGTGGCTTTTTTGCTAGATGCTTTGTATTTTAACTATTTTTGGCCTACGACTGTGCACAGATAACCTAAAAAAAAAAACCTGCCACCCAAGTTACTTTTCATTAAGTAAAGATATTGAAACTGATCCTCATGTAAATCAGATTTCAATACTTGCCAAGATTTCAAGAAGGTCAGATAACAACACTTGAGCTGAACCTGAAAAATAGCTGAATTCTGAAATTCATTATTCCAGCCAGTAACCAAACCTGTGATAAATGCCCAGTTCAAAGCCTGAAAACGCAGAAAGTACAATCCATCTTTTTCAGGGTGATCTCCCATACAAGTACAGATCTCTTCCTACTTAGCTTTTCAATATTAGCCAAGATCCGGTGGATGCGATACACTTATTTTATACAAATAGATCAGATGCATTTGGTTGTAGGGGGAAAAACCCCTCCCAAACAGAGATCAATGGGAGAAAGCCACCTCAATTGACTAGATCAGCCTTTCTCAACCTTAGCAACTTTAAGATGTGTGGACTTCAACTCCCAGAATTCCCTAGCCAGCATGCTGGCT